AAGACAGACCAAGACACAGCAGTAACATACATACACACACACATATATGTACATATGTATACATACACACACACACATGCAGGTCTATACATGTATACATATACACATGCCGAATAAAGGGTCCAAGGAAATCATAAGCTTGAAACACGTTTCAGCCATAGCGATCAACAGAAAGGAAGGCTTATTATTATCAGTGTTTACACACACACACACACACACACACACACGTTATCAGGCAGCAGTGAAACAGCATCTGATAGCTGCCATGGAGCAAAGCAAGATGAAAATGAAAACTGTTTTCTAAGACACTTAAATGATCTTATGAAAATCTACTGTAAAGATGGCTTATATAATAATAATCCCAAACGGAATGCTGGGAAAAGACACCTAGCTCAGTAGTGAATCCCAGTCTGCAGGACAAGGACTAAGACAAGGTCAGTCTAAGATTATCTGAGTGCACCCTGAGCACCCTTCGTGTACCTCTGCTCTTCAATTCTACAAATTCTGAAAGGGGGGTGGTTGCTCTCTAATCACGTGACATACTTAGTAAAGCATTCATCTAAGTGCTGCTGAATTCACAAGCTACTGTCAATACAATCCTTTAAAATCAGAAGTCACCGATCCCCACCCCACCCCCGAAACAGGGGTCAATACTCAGAGCAGGGAGAGAGCACACACACTCCAGGGTTAAACATCTAGGGAACCGTGTCTGGGCAGCGTTTCCATTCCCACTGCCATTCCTGGGCATTTATAGTCCTTCCCTTTGGCTATCTAACCCTGACTCTTAAGCAAGCACACAGCCAGTGCTTGCTATGGAGTTGCTGGAGTAAAAGCTATTGCTTTCTCAGAAAAAGAAATCTGCTTTCTGTGCATACAAGCAAATACATCCACTAATGGTCCAAGGTCCACAACGGAAGGTCTCAGTGCAACTCCATGAGAAAGCAAACACCAGCTCTTCAGTGCCAAAGAAGGTCAGAGATTCACTTCCTTGAATAGCTCTAGAGAATAGGGCCCTGATTCCAAAACACTTCTGGGAGAGGGAAAACAAAACAAAGCGGGGACCTGGATACTTAGCCCTCAAGTTCCAGAGAGAGTAAGCAGATGTAAAAACTCTGAAGGCAGGACTACATAGCTCCGTGCCAGTCTCATCAAAGGCTAGGGTAGACTCTTGAATAAGAGCACAAAGTTGTGTATTTTACCCTTAGTCCTGAGGGCTACCTTCCAGTAACAAGAATGGACGAGCCATCACCTCCCAGCGCACACTACTGTGCGGGGGTGGGGGGATGCTGGGCTAAACACCCAGGTAAGCTCAGACCACTGTACACACGGTCTCCTGTGCTTCCTGCTGTTCCTGTATCTCAGCACAGAAGAATGTGAGCCTAAGTAAATATGCAGAAGCAAGGGAAACCAAGAGGCTGAGGCAAAGCATTCCAGATGCTCTGCTTATTCTGTCCTTCGCTTACTCATGCCCAGTTCTGAGGATGTTCCCACTGACTCACACGCTGCCGGTGCCAGGTGTCTGATGCTTACACAAACAGGAACCCTATGAGGTAGCCACCGTGCTCTCAAGTTAGAGATTCAGAAGCTGACAGACAGAGGCACTTGGCACTAATGACATTATCAAAACTATTACGAGCTTGAGCCAACTTCTAACTACAAGCCACTGCATCTTACGTGTATGCTTTCTTTCACTCATTACGTCGGAGAGCCTTCCACTACTCCAACAGAGCAGTAAATCTTCAGTGATAATGTTGTGTATATATACATAAGGTTTGGCACTAAAAAGACAGCTAAATTATCTTCCTGTATCAGAGGGGCATCATACCCATCTACCACTAGGCAGCTGTTCTAGCAATTAGTCCCGTGTCTGCAGACAACCACAGAATGCTGCTGCCACCTAGTGGACAGAGGCCAGAGCTGCTGCTGAACATGTAACTACATAAAACAGACACCAGCAAAGAGCTGGAAATGTTGAGTCCATAGCTAAGAAACACTGGATTGGTCCAGAAGTAGCAGGTTAAATTTTACCACTGCACCACCAAGGCTACCCAGATAAGACCTGAGGTGGAGAGGCTAGCAACGTGTTGCCGTTTTATAGCCTCCAGGACAGCACTTCTCAAACTTCCTAATGCTACAACCCTTTAATACAGTTTCTCACATTGTGGTGACCCCCAACCATAAAATTGTTTCATTTCGACTTCATAAATGTAATTTTGCTACTGTTATGAATCATAATGTAAATATCTGATATGCAGGATATCTTATGCACAACCCCCAAAGGGGTTGCCACCCACAGGTTGTAGTGTTTCCTGTTTGGAGAACAGCAGGACCATACTCTGGAGGGCACAAGCGCCTACATCACCACACCCTGCCCTCCTCCAGTAGAATCTTTCATGATCTGCAGGCACAATCACAAGATGCTGAACACAGAAAGTACTCAGGCCGGATGTGGCAGACTTTCATGTTCTTGCAAATTCCACTAACTGTGTTTGGGGAAGTGGCTTGAATTACAGCCCTAGGTTTGGACACTATCGGTTTATTGTCCATGTTAATGAACCTCCTGTCCCTAGTCTCGCACGTCAGTAAAGTTTGACTGACTGTGTACAGCTTCTCTTCCTGAATTCTGAAGTCTGGACTGTAATGTAGTCAAGGTAGACCCAAGTTTAAGCTTAGTGGAAGAGTTAGTTCTAAGGGTCTGCAATTCAACCTAAGAGCATACAAGAATTTCTCAAGTGAGAGCTAACTAACACAGATGCCTGTGGCAGAAGGCCAGATGTTTGTCAAATTACAAGTTGTATCAGTGTATGTAGAGTAGCTAAGAACTAGAGAAGCCAAGTTAGGCTATCCAGGACCCACCAGAAAAAGATCAGCAGAGGTAGCCGCTGGGCTTCAGCTTGCTAGGACACTGTCAGTTTATGCAGCAGGCTGAGTCTCTCCTACAGCAGAGTCATAGACATCAGCATGTGAGATTGGGGTTGAATCAAAATTAAAGTTAAAAGGACATCAGCTACAGACATTTTTAAAGACTGGCAAAGAAAATGGAGGCTTTCTATGCAGTAGTACCTGGAGGATGACTAGAGAAATAGAAGGGCTTTAAAACACAAGCACACAACAGCCAACACTTTCCTCCAAAAGAAAGGCCAACCCCTAAAAGGACTCCAGGAAAGTCGAAGGACCCATCGAACTGGAGACACACACATGCATGCACACACGCACACGCGCATATGTCAGGACTGAACAAGAATAGGAGAAAAAGGCTTATCATAAGAGGATATGGATGTAGTAGGATGTGAAAGCAACCCATTACCTTTGGTCTACATGTATATGATACATATGAGATGTGAACTAATTGTATCCAATAGGAAGAGTGTCCATTTAATAAAGTGCTTCCTGGGTCAGAAAAAAATAAATAAAAGCTATGTTCAATCCCAGAATCCAGCTAAGAAAGTAATGGTGCATACCAATGATCCCAGTGCTAGGGAGTGAAGGAAAGTGGATTTCTGGGGCTGAGTGGACATTCACCCTAGTCTTCTTAGCAAGCTCCAGGTTAACAGGAGACACTGTCTCAAAAAACCCAAAAAGTGTCTATCTCCTGAGAAACATGGAAGCCCCCAAATCTGATCTATGGCTTACCTGCAGACACCTGTGCACATACACACAGATATACCAAAACTCAAATATTTCTCCTTCTGTACGTTTAAGAAAAGGGACATTTAACCTACATAATATTTGATTCAGAATTTAATGCATATAAGAAAATGTTGTATTTTATTAGCCCTGCCCAAGGTGGATAATGTGCTGAATCTCAAGCACATCATTCTAATTCAGCATGTGCTACATGCTACCATGGATCATGCCAAACCTTCCTACAGAAAGACCTATTCTCTTCATTAAAACAGCCTCGAGATCTCTCAGGAATGCTCTAGTAAATAAAGGTGAGCACTATGCCTTGTTTTCAAGCAGGCTTTTGTATTGGCAGTATAAGAGAGAACAGAGCTGGATAGTGAGGATGGAACTATTAAAAACCACAAACTAGGTTTTTAGGTGACCTGGATGGTAATACTGTAGCCCTTATATAGAAAACATGTTTGTGTTCACATTCTTCACAGTTTATTATTTCTGTATACTTTAACGAATAAATAAGCATGCTACTCAGATTCCTAGACCAGTCATCATGTTGAACTCCGGGGCCATGGAATCTCTGTTCTCAATACAGCAGTATCCCTAGTGATATGTAGGTTACAGCTTGAGATGCAAGTGAGGCCGGGCGGTGGTGGCGCACGCCTTTAATCCCAGCACTTGGGAGGCAGAGGCAGGTGGATTTCTGAGTTCGAGGCCAGCCTGGTCTACAGAGTGAGTTCCAGGACAGTCAGGGCTACACAGAGAAACCCTGTCTCGAAAAACCAAAAAAAGAAAAAAAAAAAAAAAAGAGAAGCAAGTGAGAAGTTAGATCAATTAAAATAAAATTCGACTTCTCCTTTTGCTAAACATAGCCTATTCCTATAAGATAATATACAAAACCCACACAGCAGTCTCCCCAGATGTTAAAACTGGGGGTGCGGGAGGGGAAGGGGTAGCTCTGTTCCCCTGTGGCAGTTCCTGGGAACAAATGTCACAGACTTGCAGTGAAGGGAAGATGATGTAACCACATTTCCTAGGTACAAGTCAAGAATGAAGCCACACATTCTACAAAATGGCAATAGAGGAAAGACCTGAAAAATAACATTTTCTTTGGCTGATGTATATGTTTCTTCTACCCTGTCCTTCAGTGGCTGGAATTCTCTCTTTCGTATCCTGGATTCTGTTGCCTCTGACATTCCTGAACATGGAGAAATAGAGAGAAAAAAAAAAAAACCAGAAGAGAGGGAGTAAGTGGTTCACAATCTTGGTGGGTTTCGCCGTTTCGTGGGTTATGTTCCTCCATTTCATTAGAAACCAATCACAAATGACTTGAAGGCCATAAACTGTGCTTTAAGTAACTAGCCTGCCTTTCTATCCAGGTCTTTGCCTCCAGAAGTGAGAAGATGGACAACTCAACCACAGAACCTCCAAAGCAGCCCTGCCCCTGGAACGTCCTGATCACCCGGCAGATCATCCCCGTGCTGTACTGTGTGGTCTTCATCACAGGGATCCTCCTCAACGGAATATCAGGATGGATATTCTTTTATGTGCCCAGCTCCAAGAGTTTTATCATCTATCTCAAGAACATAGTTGTGGCTGACTTTCTCATGGGCCTGACATTCCCTTTCAAAATCCTTGGTGACTCAGGCCTCGGTCCCTGGCAGGTGAATGTGTTCGTATGCAGGGTCTCTGCAGTGATCTTCTATGTTAATATGTACGTCGGCATCGTGTTCTTTGGGCTCATCAGCTTTGACAGGTACTATAAAATTGTAAAGCCTCTTTTTACTTCTGTTGTGCAGTCAGTGAACTACAGCAAACTGCTGTCCGTGCTTGTATGGACGCTCATGCTTCTCCTTGCTGTCCCAAACATCATTCTGACAAACCAGAGTGTCAAGGATGTTAAGAAAGTCCAGTGTATGGACCTCAAAAACGAGCTGGGGCAGAAGTGGCACAAAGCGTCTAACTATATCTTCGTGAGCATTTTCTGGATTGTGTTCCTTCTGTTAATCATCTTCTACACGGCCATCACGAGGAAGATCTTTAAGTCTCACCTTAAGTCCAGAAAGAATTCCATCTCAGTCAAAAGGAAGTCTAGCCGCAATATATTCAGCATTGTGCTCGTATTTGTTGTCTGTTTTGTACCTTACCACATTGCCAGGATCCCCTACACAAAGAGTCAGACGGAAGGTCATTACAGCTGCCAGGCGAAGGAGACCCTGCTCTATGTGAAGGAATTCACTCTGCTACTCTCTGCTGCAAATGTGTGTCTGGACCCCATTATTTATTTCTTTTTATGCCAGCCGTTTAGAGAAGTCTTAAATAAGAAGTTACACATGTCACTGAAAGTCCAGAATGACCTAGAGGCTTCCAAAACCAAAAGGGAAAACACAATTCATGAAAGCACAGATACTTTGTAAATTGCCGTCCCCTCCCAAGTATTATCAATCTTGTTACAGGATAATTATGAATAAAAAGCAGGCTTATGACGACAAATAACTTAGCTAGCAATATTATCCAATAATATGTATGAAGTCCAAAAAAAAGTATAATAAAAATAAAATATAAGTTTCCATGTAAAATGAAAGCCGGTAACACATCACAATTTTCTAGAAATCAAATGAATAGAGAAGTGGCATGTGGGTGCTGGTCTATGAGTTACCGAAACTCAACTCCTCCTCTTCTATTAACTGGCTTCTTAGAAGACACCCAGTCTTTCAGATGTTCCTCCTAAGCATTCTTCTAAGTAACACTCATACCTATTTCATACTTTGTACTATGTATGTGCCAATAAACAAACTGTCTTCAAAACCATCAGGAATTTTGTCTTATTAATAATAATCAACGTATGAAGAGTACCCCCAGAGTTTCTGCACATCCGTGTATGCTTAGCCACACGCCACAGTGCAAGAAAGGTGGTTACACAGAAAGCAGAAATATCCGACTTGTCTCTGACTTTCCCAAATGAGTACTCATATGCGGTAAGCCCTGTTCACACTTTAGCCCATATGCAGCCTGTACTGAGACAGAAGATCTCGGTGACTAAACCCCCTGTGTGGGGGGATGGGAAAAGGGCTGTGTTTGATATCCTTCATAGCTCTCATAGCCAGAGCACATCTCCTCACACCAGGTGACTGAAGCAAATGCAAGAGGGCAAGAAAGGGGCTAAGAAAGGCTTTGGTCATATGAGTTCTGTCTTCAACCTCTAACCTCTTTTCTCCACTATACAAATGAAACTTGTCCTTGAGAAAGTCACTCTCCCCTTTGGCCTTTGTCATCACAATGCCAAAGGAGAAAACTAACAGGAAAGCAAGAAGGTTTAGGAAACAACATGTCAGGCAGATAAGGAGACTGGAAACCACAGCTGAGCAACAAGCGGTGCACACGCCAGAACTATTATTGGAGGCGGGAACAACTAGCGATAATGGGGGCAGAGTGCTGGCAGCAGGGGATTAACCTAACATTCTGCAGACAATCCTGTGGCTAAAGAGGCCACAGGAACATTTTACTTGTGCTTCTGTAGATGAGGCCACAACACAGAATGACCACAGAAGCTCACGTGACAGAGAAGGCAACATCAACAGTAGCGGAAGACAGAAGTATGAAAAAGGGACACTGATCTGAGAACCTGTACCTTACCAAAAAGCAAGCCCCTGAGCCTAGCCAACTACCTCTTCATTTTTATAAGAAATGTAAACTCAGGGGGCTTTTACATTGCTGGGCCTTAAGTCAAATCAAGTAGTGATTGGTTGTTCCCAACAAGCTTTGTGGGAGACATTAGAATATCTTGCAGACACTATCCAGTTGTAGATAAAGGGTGTGGCTGCCTTGGTGCTGAGTACACTCCTGTACCAAAGACACTGGAACATCAGGGTGAAGGCTCTGTGTAGGCACCAGCACAGCCTCTCTATGTCTAATGGTTTGTGTGGTGTTGTCTTCAGCGATGGAACTTTGCTGTCATCTTGTGGAGAACAATCTATAGTTTTGACAACCTGGGTAGTTTTGGGGTCCTTTTGACCAACAACTCAATAAGATGTAACCCAACCCTGGTACTGGAAGCTTCATTTGATGACAAGAGATGGCCAGTTGGGAATCTGTCTCTCTCACTGTTTGGTGATTTCATTGAGATCATTTTCATCTATGTATACATTTTAGGAAGTTTTACACACTACTCCTCAAATGCTCTTTAACTTTAGCTGTCTCTCCTCATACTCCCTCCCAGATGCTCATCTCCTGCCCTGCTCTCTCTTGGTCCTCCCACTCCATCCTCCCATCCATCCATATCTGTCTATTCTATTTCCCTTTGCTAACATGGTCTATCTTCTCCCTTACTTCCTCATGCTATGCCTACCCTCTGCAGATCTAGGGATTGTAGCTTGGTTATCATGACTTAACAACTAATAGCCACATATAAGCAAACACACACCAGCTTTGTCTTTCTGAGTCTGGGATACCTCACTTGGTGTGATTTTTTTTTTCTAGTCCATCCATTTGTTTGGAAATATCATGACACCATTGTTTAACAGATGAGTGAGATTCTCCATTGTGTAAATTAAATGAAGATACATCTGTAGCTAGGACATGATGTATCAACAGCCATCCTGTAACATCTAAATGTAGAAATCTAGGAGAAGGGTATTTTACTAGATTTTTACTACAGTCTAGAACTAAAAGTCCCCAATTGTTAAAATCTCCCTGCTTTCTATATTTAAATAAAGTTTCCATTTCTATCCTTAACTGATCCAAGTTCTGGTGCCATGCATTTTAAGGTGTTTTTGTGAAAGGAATGGCTGCCACATGAATCAAGAAACAGATCACAGAACATTTGCAACAATGTACACCAAAATGATAGAGGGACCACCGAGGGAGGAGACCCCAGAAGACATTTCATAAAACCTTCCTCCCCAGCGTACCTCCTCAGAATCCACCCTCATCTCTTAGCAACAAAAGGAAACATTTTCGGCTGAGAAAGTCACTTTCTATGTCCTGATATACAGTTAGCACAGGTGACTCAGCACTCGGTGA